TCGAAAATGGTCGTTCCAAAAGGCTTACTACATCCAGCTGGCCTTCCGCCCTGCACTGAAAGCTAGTTTATCATCCTTGCCAGATTATTTCCTACGCATCCCCTCCTCTCCTACAAACCTCATCCACCCAAAAACTCAATACTATGGTCACCTTTGGATTAGGGTTCGTTGTTGTTTTTTTCCTGGTAGGATTTAGTGTAAACCCATCTTACTGATCAACAAACCTTAACCTCTTATCTACGGTAGCTTTGCTATCACTGTTCGGTTCCTTTAGTATCGCTTTCCTGCAGTTACTATTTTGGATTCTGTTCTTCAGGACTCAATTTGGTGGTTTCCATCTCCATGTTTTTCCTTATCTTCCCCACCTCGGGCTGCGAGTCACCTCTGCTAGATTTCTGTCTCCAGATGTCGGATTTCATGGTTGATGTCTTCCTTGTTTTTTCTAGGACTGTNTAGGACTGTGAAATTTGCGAATTTCTTCCCTTTGTATTCCCACCCGTTAACAGTTTTCTCCTCAAAATCAGGAATAATAAATTGGTTCTCACCTGGGTTTCTTTCCACATACCTCTCGGTTTACTGTGTACCCTTAACCATGCGGTTTACCCTTTTTGCTATGCAATAATTTGTGAAATAAAAATACCCGTTGTGTATGGTTTGTTCTAATTATTGTTCCGTCTTTTGGAAAATGAAGCTTCAAACTATTTTTGTGTTGACGCATTTATCTTATACTTTATAAATATCCCCTTACAAATAGTCTATGTGATCCAATCTTATCGATTGTACAGATCACTGAGTTTGATTGACCACACGATCGTCGAGATCCAGTATTACGCAGTTCCAGTGTTCCATGAATGTATGTAAGACGAACCGCATACGGAATCAATTTATCTCGATGAATCAGAAACGAAGGAAAAGGGCACTTTTTCGATTGATAATACCAAAACGCTACCACACCAGAGCAACAGCATCGATAGAGCCGCTAAGATTCCTCGTCTCATAGGTCATTCATGTGAATTAGTATAAGTGGGAAAACTACTGATAAGGTGTCAGTAGTGCAAGTTAAGAAGTTTACTTTTATTTCACCTGCTCCTATCGACCGATATTCACAGTAATCATGAGCAGCGCCGACATTGGTAATTCATGAATGATGCAATTACTCACACTTATCATTTTCAATTACTGAATAATTCAAAGCGACTTTGATTACAAGCGTGACCTCCATTTCACAGTCTCATCCTTGTCCATTTGTTTTCGAATAACATCACTCTCTTTCTGTCCCCTCTTCTTCCGTGTTTAGGTGCGATTTTTGTTTGGGGCGTTGATTGTTTACATCGCCCGAATCAGCTCGTCGGATCCGTGCCAGTCCGGTGCTGGTTGTATACGTGCTCTACAGCGAGCGTGCCAATCACAAGCGCCTTCATCTCTATCTTCCTCTCTAACGGATCAGAATGCCCAGGCCGCCCGAGCAGAATCTGCTGCCAGTTTGTTGCGTGCTTTCATTTGTACTAACTCGCCTAGTGATCTGAATACGCCGTCGTGTAGTCAACCGAATCTAACGGATTGTTTACTTCAATTAGTACTGTATCAATTACGCTACTCACCGGCCGAGTGTCTACGACAGACCGGTTCGAATGCGCCTGGTACATCTACGGATCCGAAATCTTTTTCATCTTCACATATGGATTCATTTAACGATGTAGGCTACGGTTCCCCCGGGAAAGCCACTCCGGGCACATCTTACTCAAAATGTACTGGTCGGTTCAGTTCGCATCATCCTTTGGTATGGAGTCAATACTTCTCAATATTTCTGGACTATGCCAACACGGATGAAGTAGCACGGAAACGACTGTTAAAATTAGGTGTCCCGGAATTGTTTCTACGGTAATAACCCCAACAACTGTTCCTTACCCGGTGTTCATTTTTTATTCCTACGTTATCTGCCACTACCTTATTTCAAGCTTCAGATTATATTAGCCTTTGTTTTATCCATAGTTCCGTCCGCAGACAAAAAAGGCTTTAATTTGAACAACGATTAACCATGCGCTTTAGTGTGCCGGTTTTTGTTGCCGTCTTTCGGCTACCCATTTGGATGAAGGAGTAGAAGGTAGATTGGAAGGTGGAATGGAGTTAGGGTTATCACAATCTCATGTCAGGTCTTGGTTTCACCACCCGTTGCCAATCATTACCTACCTCGGCAAACTATGCGAGCTGTGCAAACCTATTCGGTGACTTAAATGACACATCCTCCAACCAATCCAGGCTACGGAAGTCGACCAATTGCTTCAGTGGGCGACCACAATCACCTAAAACTCTGTGTCTGAAATCAGCATTGCTTGTCCGGTTTCCCTATCAGACTCATGCGATGCAACGTAGACAGCGGTGTTCGAACGCCGACAGTCTACCTTTATCTTGGTTTCGTAATCGCCAAGCTTCTGCACCGTAAAACAGAACTAGCCGAACTGCTGTATACATACATATTCTACTCTTCACAGTCAGCCGGATGTTGCAACGGCGCCACAGATGTCGATACGAGTTATAGACTGAGGAAATATTGTGCTGGAAAACGGCTTCATGATGACCAATCCATGCCATTGCTTGCATAAGGTTTCGCTCCGATGTACGAATATAATAGTCTGAATCCTTCACTCCATGTGGTATGACGAGTTCGGTTGAACCTTCGCTGGATGAGGCAACCCGTGCCATTTCGGAGTTTCGATTAATAATTCGCTTATTGTCTTACCGCAGCTCTTTCCATAGATCTTGCCAGTAGCAGTTCCATCCGTTTGGTCTAACTTAATTAGCTATCTTTTCGTCACTAAAGTGAACGAAATTTCATTCGTTTTTTTAAATTTACATGAGTTTCATTTCTTTGTAAGGGTTCTTAGGTCTTTAAAATTGTTAGAGCTATTCGCCTTCTCGTTTTCTTGTATTTTTTTTAAGGAATCGTTCTCAGTATGTGTTGTACTATTCGCTCCGAAACCTTCAACTCAAGCGCCATTTCCGTCTTCGGTGAACAGGAAAAATGACTTTGATGAGTTTGATACTACACGTAGCAATCTGCGCTTATCTTCCCCTGAGAACTTTTTCCAGTGTCCAATCCATCCATGACTGTTTTCGCTTCAAATATCGGGACCTATTAGACTGTGTAATCATCTCGTGTGTTGGCATTGATCTCTCGAAACACATCGATTCGTGCTGTTATTAAGGCTCTTTCATCGCGCCGTGGTGGGCAATGCCTTGTACTGATCTAATTCGATCTATTTGTACCTTCAGATCACTGAGATTGATGTGAGCATATGACTACTGTCACCATGGTGTCACATGACCGTAGTTTACGCCAGTCTATCATCCGCTGAATCGCCACGGTTGCCAGTTTTCATGCCAGAATACAAACTCGGAATGTCTATCACACTCGTTTTCCAACCGAGTTGGATGTGTGAAGTCCTTAGGAGTGCCATACTCTCGTCTCGATGAAAATAATATTTTATCGACATTTTCGTTAAAATCAAAGATAATTTATTGAAATCTCGGATTTCGAGTTCCGTCTGGGTTCTCACAAATGGCGACGATCATGCCTGTGTGAGCGGAGATAATCCAAAGACCAGTGGACAGTCGGGTGCAATACTTTTATCGCAGGGTGTATTTCATTTTTGTTGCTTTCTGCCTTTTGTCACTAATCATCGTAAAAAGTTAGTGCAGCTGGCGAAATTCGATTGTTTCAATCATCTGTATACAAATTAGGAATAAAATTGTCTTCCTAATAAGTGATACATATTGATGCATTGGCATGATTAAGATTCACTGATAACGAGCTTTCTTGCCAATCTGTGTTTTGTTGGAAATGTGCTCTGTGGGGCCATTCATCTGCATACCTTTTCCGACATTAAATACTTCATGGTCTGCAATCTTTTTTGCTTCTTTTTCCAGTTATGCTTTCAACAATCAATCCACGCTTACTTCGACCACATCCTCATTTGGCGTATCTTGGTTGGGCTCCACAACCGCGCCATCAAGCACCGCACGTTCTGCGGATACTGTTAGACAAAGTCTTGACCGAATTCTGTACACCGTGTGGGATGCTTGCCTACAGGCTGGACAACCGATTGCATCCACTGCCGAGGAGACATACCATCGGCTATCAGCTAGCGCGAATGCCGTTCTGTTAGCCTTGACAGCTAATTCGAACAATATGTCATCTTGCTGGGATCTCTATGTGGCCGGTTTGGGATCTAATACGGGTGGCGGAGTTGGAGCTGGTGGTTCCCCGTCTAATGGGAATGTTCAGTATGCCGGTGTGGTGAAATTATGGAAATTACTATCTCTTCTCGTCCGATCATTAGATGTTTCTTCACTTATAATCTCCTCTTCGACGGCACCTTCATTATCACCATTGGTTTCTACCGCTCCGCAAACACCGCCGGAATCAGAACCACCTGTTTCGGACACTGTTCCGGTGCCGATCGCTTCGACGGAACTAGATACGCATCCAATGGGTGATACCGTAGGTGTTGTAACTGCACCAACCGATCCAGTTGCACCGTCTTCGTCGTTGGACGGTACGCATCCTACCGTTATAGCAATAGACAAACGCACGAGACATGGGTATGCTACAACTCACAAGAATCCGTACGCAACCAGCTCAGTACCACTGTATCCAATCTCACAGGCATTAGCGTCTTGTCTTGTACCCAATTCCCCATCTCGGTCTGCTTCCCATGCGATCCGATCGTGGCTGAATGCCTCCACACTAGAGCCGATTTCAAGCATGTTGATGGTGAGTTTCCAATAAAATTTTGAATGTTAAACGTATCATTATTTTCAGTGTTTCGCGTCGTCCTAGTAACGGAAAAGGGGAGGGGGAATTATTGGGGTGATAATTTCGCCCTAGGAAGAATGATCGGAGAAGCATTCTTGAGAGGAAATGGGAATTTTGCTGGTTTGGTTTATCACGTCTTTAGAAACATTCATGAAGAATATGTTTAATACACATCATTGTTAGTAATGCGTTGACCTCAATATGCAAACAACTACATCAGTCATGAGCGCAATTGCAAGAAAAAGAAGACTTGAATGCATTTAAAGCTAAACGTAGAT